GCCCCCGCACCATAAAAATTTTTTTTTTTTTAAAAATTAGGACTCATGTATTTTAAAGAGTTTATGGTCCTCCAGTATAACACACCAGCCAACACAAACGTTTCTGTGTCCTCCAGTATAACACACCTGTGTCCTCCAGTATAACACACCTGTGTCCTCCAGTATAACACACCAGCCAACACAAACGTTTCTGTGTCCTCCAGTATAACACACCAGCCCTAACAAACGTTTCTGACAACAGAGATATCTGATGCAGCAGCAACAACACAACTAAAGAAAACAGCACACAGCCCAACACCTTGGGAAAGAATTAAATAGATTGAAATGACTCCCAACTTACCTTTCTTTTTGGGGAAGATCTCATATGGATCCTGATGATAGAAACACAAAAGAAATATCATTATTATGATGAAATCTTTCTCATTCTGGACACAAAACCCCCCCACACTTCTGAATTAATAACACTGTAAAAATTCCTCACACATGATAACCTTCTCAGTGAACACGGCCTCTTTTGTTGAACAAGCATCAAAACATCAAATGTTTCCATGTGTGTGACGCGGCCATGGCCACTTAGGAACATCCAAAGAAATAACAACATACCATAATGTCTGAGACGGCCACTCGTTGTTGAGACAGACAGTTGCTGTCTTACACAGGGTCACTATAATGTGATAAATATATATATATACAATCTTACAGTGTCATTATTGTGTTATAATTATATATGCAATCTTACAGTGTCATTATAGGGTTATAATTATATATACAATCTTACAGTGTCATTATAATGTGATAAATATATACAATCTTACACAGGGTTATTATAATGTGATAAATACTATTGAAGATAGATGGGTAATTCTTTCATTGGAAGCAAGATATATAAACAAGCTTTCAGACGATACCAATAATAATTTAATATGCTCAAAAATTGACAAGCGCCTGATTCCACCATGCTGTGACACACATATCTTCACAGACTCTTGAGAGTCAATAAAAGTTCATAATCACGACAAAATGAAGGCGTACAATTGGAATCAAAATGGACACAAACTGTTCTACTCGAGACCCCATACCTTCATCATGGGCCGGGCTCTTTTCTCAAACAGGCCGGAGGGAAGCAGGTACTCAATAGCTCTCTGGGGAAAACAAACAATCCAGTAAATGAACATATCGAATCATCTCCCTCTCCCTCCTCTTAGCTGTCTTCTGTAGGTTGGCACATTTCAGCTTGCCTCTCCTTCCTCTTAGCTGTCTTCAGTAGGTTGGCACATTTCAGCTTGCCTCTCCTTCCTCTGAGCTGTCTTCAGTAGGTTGGCACATTTCAGCTTGAAGAGAGGCGGACAATAATACAAGAGTAGCAGAGCAGACCACATCAGAGCTGCCACAACCACCCGCCCGCTTCTCCTCTGCTGCTCATGAAATTGTTTATAATTTCACCCAGAAAGCACCATCATCTTACTATTGACATTTTTCACTTGTTCTGTTATTTTGGATTGAGTCAAAATGTATGTTACACTCAAATCCCATTAAACTGCCAAAAACGTACGTTACACTCAAATCCCACTAAACTGCCAAAAATGTATGTTACACTCAAATCCCACTAAACTGCCAAAAACGTATGTTACACTCAAATCCCACTAAACTGCCAAAAACGTATGTTACACTCAAATCCCACTAAACTGCCAAAAATGTATGTTACACTCAAATCCCACTAAACTGCCAAAAATGTATGTTACACTCAAATCCCACTAAACTGCCAAAAACGTATGTTACACTCAAATCCCACTAAACTGCCAAAAATGTATGTTACACTCAAATCCCACTAAACTGCCAAAAACGTATGTTACACTCAAATCCCACTAAACTGTCAAAAATGTATGTTACACTCAAATCCCACTAAACTGCCCCACTTGGTCAAGCATCAAGCTGGTGGCAAAGTGTGACTGTACAATGAGAGGAAGTAAAACAGAGAACCAGCTGTACCGTGAATCCCAGCCACGTAACCTCATGTCTAAAGAAGAACAAAAAACGAACATCTCACACCACAACCAGCAAAATTGAAACTACAAGCTCAGCCAAAGGAGAGAAAGATCATACTTGTTACTGAGAGGAATTTTGACAAATTGAGATTTGTCAGTTAGGACACATGCATTTTTACTTCAACCAATTTCTTTTCCTCCCAAACTCTAAAAACTTTTCTTCATTCTACAACATTAGCAAATTCAACTGCAGTCTAAAACTATTGGAGAAGCACGGGTTTTGCTGGAAGAAGGAGTCCAAAGAGTGTTGGTGAGAGTCCAAAGAGTGTTGGTGAGAGTCCAAAGAGTGTTGGTGAGAGTCCAAAGAGTGTTGGTGAGAGTTCAAAGAGTGTGTCCCCAAAGAGTGGGAGTCCAAAGAGTGTGTCCAAAGAGTGTGTGTCCAAAGTGTGTGTGTCTTAGTCCAAAGAGTGTGTGTCCAAAGAGTGTGTGTCCAAAGTGTGTGTGTCTTAGTCCAAAGAGTGTGTGTCCAAAGAGTGTGTGTCCAAAGAGTGTGTCCAAAGAGTGTGTGTCCAAAGAGAGTGTGTCCAAAGAGAGTGTCCAAAGAGTGTGTGTCCAAAGAGTGTGTGTCCAAAGCGTGTGTGTCCAAAGAGTGTGTGTCCAAAGAGTGTGTGTCTTAGTCAAAAGAGTGTGTCCAAAGAGTGTGTGTCCAAAGAGAGTGTGTCCAAAGAGAGTGTCCAAAGAGTGTGTGTCCAAAGAGTGTGTGTCCAAAGAGAGTGTGTCCAAATAGTGCGTGTCGAGAGTCCAAAGAGTGTGTCCGAAGCGTGTGTGTCTTACGTTGACGTCGTCCTGTGTGAAGCTGTCTGGGTCTTCCCCCATGATGTTGGCCAG